ACGTGAACAGCGCCAGCCGAGTCGTCCAGTTCATCTTGAAGAGTGTTGGTACTGACAACTTGATCGGAAAATCCGAAGTGAAAGACTTCCGAGGTGCAGTGCAAAGGACTACGCACCTCGACGAGGTGGGGCCGGAGCGACAGGGGGCGAGTGTAGGTTTGTGAAGGTAGTGGGACTACGGCCCAGTGATAGAAGCGATGAGCTCAGTCCGTGTTGGAATCTGACCGAGGATACACCGACATTTTGCACGTAGGTCAGGCTGGCTCTGGCCTACATGTATACGTCCCGCATCGGACGCGACGAGAAGACCAAGCAGCGCTTTGCAGGAGAGCGAACGAGGCTTGGCGCTCGATTGTAAAGCGCTCGCTGGATTTCTGCCTGGAGCGCATTTGGCTCATGTTGAAGAGACAACGAAAGAGCATGCCGTGTTTTGCTTGGCAAAACCGGTACAGGTTTGTCGACGTCGCTGCGCGTCACGCCAAAAACCCTACGCGCGTCAAATGGCTACGGCTTTGATTCAACAATTAGAAATTAAACCGTTTACTCGGGTTATTATCTCTAACTGTTTTTTTTGGTAGCTAATTTAAAATTCTGAGGATAAAAGAAATCGGGATATGCAGGGTATTATATCAGCAGCAAATGTCGTAATAAATTTGCATCAACCAATCAGAGTTGCTGGCACTTCAACATCTCCCTCTTTATACGGCAATAAATATCATACATAAGAGTTACGAACTGCCCCACAATCTTGAGATCTCGAAATACGGGCCGTTTCGAATCTAGTGCCACATTCCAGCACACAACCCCCCAACTATTCCAGTGAGCTGATTGTTTCCCCGACGGTCATGATCAGTTCCTTAGTGGTGGATTTGACAGCAGAATCGGCATCATCATTCTTGAAAACTTCTGCTCGGGCGTAATTGGGCAAGTTGCATAAAGAATTGGTGTCCAAGGCCAGCGCGCCGTTGCACGAGAAGTTCATGTTCATTCATCCTCCGAGACGACCAAGACGAAAGCTACCACGTGAGAGTATGGTTCCAACTAGTAGCTGGCAGCTACGCACTTCGGGCCAAGCTACGTCGTCGGAGAAAGCATCGACTTCTTTGATCATACTGGTATCAGAGACCTGCAAGACCATTAACAATTTACTGTAGTCGAGAGTGTCGTCGTAGCACAGGTCGACATTCAAGTGCACTGTACCAGAGCCCAAGGTGAGTCAACACCCAAGAGTGATCAAGTATAGCATCACTGGTGCTGAGGATCGACGGGCTCAATATTAAAGTCGTACGCAGTTCAATAAACTGGCAGATCCAAGGGAACGTTGATCGGGCGACCATGCCCGGCGAGAATGCAACGTCAAAAGATAGAGCAGTCAAGCAGCTATCGATTTTCATGCGTTCAGCAGTAGCAGCACAGAATTCATCACGGCCTGATGAACAGGTACTCTAAGGTTCATGCTGCTGGTAACTACTTGGCGAAAGCACCTTATTCCCAGAGTCGGGCCATCTTCACCGCCAAAGCAACGAGCGACGTTATTTTGTGCTTTATGCAGCAGAAGCGTAGAAGAAGATGATACCGGTTTCACGGCTCACGATATGCGTCCAAGTCATGTTGTTCAAGTCGTTAACCATGTGGAAGGCTATTCGACTGGAAGAGAAGGATCTGAGCCGGTTGAGCGCGTGCCTCACCAAAGCATTGACTGTAATGCAGCAATTGCAAGTGGAACGACGATCCGTCGTGATCATGCCTGCCAGCTCAGACCGCTTAAGAGTTCACAAGTGAGCAG